CTCTCTCTCTCTCCCTCTCCTCTCACTCTCTCTTTAAAAAAAAATAAATAAAATAGGGACTGAAGGGTAGGGAATTTTATGAATTAATTTAGTTCAAAAGGAACTATTGTTTTTCTTTGTGGCATTATAGGGAGCTCATTTTCAAGGCAGTCAAAACCATATTTGTTTGCTGAGAGCCACTGCTGGTGTTCACTGATTCAGGCCTTTTTCTCTTGCAGTTCTGAATCAGCCAGGGGCCCCCAAAACACAGATTTTTATGAATGGCGCCTGTTCCCCGTCTTTGTTGCCAACCCTGCCACCCCCATTGCCCTTTCCTCTCCCAGTTGTTCCTGACTACAGGTGAGCTGCTCTTCAGAAACACGTTCTTTATTCATCATGAGCCGTTGTCTCACTTTCTGATGCTAACTTTTCACCGACATGAATTAATGACAATTTAGAGATTAATTATTACACATTCCTATTTAGGAATTATAAAAGTACATAGAAGCCGGGCTTGGTGGTACATACCTGTAATCCCAGTGGCTGGGGAGGCTGAGGCAGGAGGATCGTAAATTCAAAGCCAGCCTCAGCCAAAGTGAGGCCCTAAGCAACTCAGTGAGATCCTGTCTCTAATTAAATACAAAATAGGGCTGGGGATGTGGCTCAGTGGCCAAGTGCCCCTGAGTTCAATCCTTGGTACCCCCTCCCCCCAAAAAATGTACATAGAATGTATATGTATGTGTGTATATGTATGTATATAAAGAAGAAAATTTTAAATTTCTTGGATTGATTAGATAACCCATTACATCTGTAGAGTCCAACACTGTAGGAGCTGTGTGTAGGCGGGGGCAGGGGCCTGTAATCCAGCTTCTGGGGACGCTGAAGTGTATGCTCCAGGCCAGCCTCGTCAACACAGAGAGGCCCCTTTCAAAACACGAAACAAAAGTGCTATGTGTCTGTGTGTATACACCTGTGCACACTCAAGGTTCTCCCTGCCACCCTCAGTGTGGACATCCTGCCTGGCCAGTAAATGGGGTCTGTATTTCCATGGCTTTATGGTGTGATGCCGTGTGAGTGCACCGCTGTGCTGACCCCTGTGTTTAACACCCATGGTTCTTGTTGTCCTTCTGCCTGTGTGAGAGTCCTAACTGTGAACCCGGCGCTTCTCCCCCACATTCAGCTCCTCCACGTACCTCTTCCGGCTGATGGCAGTGGTCGTCCACCATGGAGACATGCACTCTGGACACTTTGTCACTTACCGACGGTCCCCACCTTCGGCCAAGAACCCTCTGTCGACCAGTAACCAGTGGCTGTGGATCTCCGACGACACTGTCCGCAAGGCCAGCCTGCAGGAGGTGCTGTCCTCCAGCGCGTACCTGCTGTTCTACGAGCGGGTCCTCTCCAGGGTGCAGCACCAGGGCCAGGAGTACAAGTCTGAAGAGTGACTGCCCTGGCCTGAGCTGATGGCCTCGTCCGCGCCATCTAGGATAGAAGCCAGCTGTGCTGTGTGTGTCGCGCAAGCAGCCCCCCAGAGCTTGCCGCGTGTTCCGAAAGTGGGCTCCGTGGAGGAGCCCCCCCACCCCCGGCCCTGCTAGCAGCTCTGGAAGGGCCGGCAGCCGGAGAGTGTCCCTGTGTCTAGAGTGTCTTTTTACTCATCTGATTCAAGTAATTAAAAGCAACCAGATCCAGAAAGCACCTTTCTATATTGTAACATGTGAGATGTTCTCAGAGGGCAGTCACCTTCCTAATCCTCTGACATTTCAACATAGATTTTTTATTTTTAATAAGCAGGCCCCTAAAAATTGTTGACATAATTAGTGAAATCATTAAAGGCAACAATTTAGAAGAAAAAGTGCCTTTCACTTTTGATTGCTTTTGTAGCCCAACCATTCTGAGAAAGAGACATGATCTAAGAGTCCGAGAAACAGTTTTTGAAGGCCCTTTTCCTTCCAGGTCACTCAGAGGATATCAAAGAGCAGTTACAAGATGCCTGAAGAGCTCCTCTCCCTCTTTGTACGCCTTTTTCTAACCTTTTGATTCTTTCTATGTCTTAAAGACACATCTGCCAAGTCTCCCCGCCCTGGGCGCTCTTTCACGACTTTGTCAGTCAATGTAAGTGAAACGCTCGTTGCTTTTCTCTTTTGTGTACAACACCAAGAGATGTGATCCTAGTACATTATGAAAACCGTGTGGCCAGCCAGACCGGAGAGCGTCTCTGTATCTGGGCAACCCCTGTGTCTTCTGCCATATAGAAAACCATTACACGAGGACGGTTACTTCTGTGTTATTTATTGCCTGTGCAGGAGCTCTGAAGGCCTACAGGCAGGGTCTTGGGGCTGTGTGAGCTCATCCCTGCCTCAGCTGGAGAGCTAGATTAGGATGCGCGCTGTATATGGGCTGCACTTTTGCTGGGCCTGTTTCCTCATTTGTAAAGTGAAGGGTTAGATTAGATGACCGAAAAAGTTCAATCCTACCACACACAGTGGCACACGCCTATCATCCCAGCAGCTCAGGAAGCTGAGACAGGATGATCGAGAGTTCAAAGCCAGCCTCAGCAAAAGTGAGGCGCTAAGCAACTCAGTGAGACCCTGTCTCTAAATAAAATGAAAAATAAGGCTGGGGATGTGGTTCAGTGGTCAAGGGCCCCTGAGTTCAATGCCTGGTACCAATCCCCCCCCCCAAAAAAAAAAAAAACAAAAAAAACCTCCAGTCCTTCCCACAGAAGGAAGAAAGCAGTTTGATTTCTGAAACACAAATACAGCCGACATTAGGCATCATCATTATTTTGGCCCACATTCTGAATTTATTCATTCCCAGTAGCCTAATACAAAAAGAGTATATTGAGCATTTTCTTCCCTTTTCAGATAAGTCTCGGGAATGCAACCCAGGGCTGAAGGAATTTTGATGACACAATAGTACCGAGTTTAAGCTAGGTTTGTGATTTTTAAAAAAAGATGCCAAATTCAAACTGACTCTTCAGAGAAAACATTTGGAATCAGACCAATACAAAAGATCACCAGAAGTCAGGCCAAGAACTGTGCTCCTGCTGGGCATGCCCCTGGACTCCAGAGGCTGAGGCAGGAGGATGGTGAGTTCAAAGCCAGTCTCAGCCACGGCGAGGTGCTGAGCAACTCAGCGAGACCCTGTCTCTAAATAAAATACAAAATAGGGCTGGGGATTTGGCTCAGTGGTACCAAAAAAATAAATAAAAGAACTGTGCTCCCTCTACCTGGGGTGAGCTTCCAGATGTGTGTTGGCATTAGTTGACAGTGCAAGAAGCCCAGGTGGTCACCATTCAGCTGGGCCAGTGTGCATCCTAAGGACTTGGGGACTCTCCCTGCCAACAGAATATACTGTGAAGGTTCTCGGAGCCACCAATGTCAGTGTGAAAGCAGGAGCTTGAGCCACCTGGTCCGTGCAGTGCAGACCTCAGCGTTGATGTGGAACTGAATGCACCAGTTTTATCTAAATCCAGTGACGCAAACAACAGGTCATGTGACTGTGAGCTGCACTGCACAGTTGAAGCTCTGAGTAACTGCTGTTCTGCAACCCCGGGAAACTGGCATCAGAGAGATGCATGCAAGGATCCAACAGTGGGTTGGGAGGAGCTCCTTGGCCAGAGGCTGGGGTGTGAGTGAAGGCTGTAAATGTGAATGACAACCTGTCTGAACGCTAACTTCCTCATTTTGTAAATTATTAGGCATTAAGTAGTGGCAGAATAATCTGATTTCTTGTTTTAAGTTATTTACAAAGTCAGTAGCTTCTTTTTGGAAAAGCCTAAGTTAAATTAGTAGTCTAGGCCATAATAACTGATTTATGTATTTGCTAAAGGTACTTTTGTATCTGCTATGTATTATAGCAATAAAAGAATCATTTTGTTAGGAAAAAATCAACTGGTATTCTTTTATAATTCACTGTGCTTTCCTTAACCTGCTCCTGTAAAGAAACACCAGCTCCCTCTCAGACAAAAAAAAAAAAACAAACAAAAAAACAAAAAAGAAACATGTTAAAAACATTTTTATTTCTTAGGCAAAATTTTACGAAATGTCAGGTTGACCCTCGGAGCCAGAACCTTCTTGCGCACGGGAAGACTGTGATACCAGTGGGCATTGGTCGGGGGGTTCATCATCAGTAAGCTTCCGTGGGCCAGCTGCAGCCGGATCACCTCTAGCTTCCGGTGGGGGTTCTTCCCTCGGGAGTCCTTGTGCCGGAAGCAGAAGTCCCTGCAGGCACCAAAGGAGACAGAGGCGATGGGGCTCCTGGGCGCCAGTTCTCTCTCATCGTCTCGATGCTCCCCAATGTGGTCACAGCCATCTTTGTACCTGCAATGAGAAAACAGGCAGCGCTCAGAATGACCTTCTGGAGGCTGTCCCTGCAGGCTGTCCCTGCAGGGCCTAAGCGCCTCCCTGACTCTGCAAGTGAGGCTGACCTGGGGCATCTACATGGGTAACCTCTCCTAAAGCAGGCCGACAACACCTCATCAGCCCCTGGCTCATGCATGGAAACCTTCCTGTCACATAAAAGGATTTCCTCCCTCCATACAGAATAAACTCCCATTCCTGGCACATTCTGGCCCCTGGCCACTCGAGAGCACCCCGCATCCCTTCCTCCCTCCCTCATTGCTTTCTGGCCATACCAGGAGTATTCCTGCTCCACAGGTGCTCTGGGCTTCTCTGGGTGCCTGGTCTGAGCTCTCCAGTTAGTTGCCAGCTCAGGTGTCTCCGTGAGCCCTCCTCTAACCATCTCATCTAAAGTGGGTCCTTCTCCTCTGCCCAGGGTTCTCAGCCAGGGTGATGTTACCCCAGGAGATACCGGGCAATGTCTGGACACATTTCTGGCTGCTCTGATGGCATAAGGTGCTACTGGCATCCCCTGATGGTGGCCAGGGACGCTCTCAGTCCTACAATGCACAGATCAGCCCTGGGCAACAAATTACCCAGTCTATGATGTTCACAGTCCTGCTGCTGCTCAGAAACCCTGAGTCCCAACCTTTCCTCAGCTACTCATTCAAATCAGCCTGCTTGACTGTCCCCACCACACTCCCCACGGTCCCAAATGACCCTGCCCAGCTGTCTGTCCAGGAGTTAATCACCCTTCCCTCCTGCTGCTGCCTGAGCTCCCTGAAGGACGACTGGGCTTGCGTTCTCCCACCATGATGTCCCTTGTGTGCTACTGGAAGGTTTGCTGTGCAGGACCAAGTATGGGGGAGCCCTGAACGCTTCCTTTTGGAGGAGACAGAAGGCTATAAAACTTACACTCCACCAGACAAGGGAGGCATCACCTGTTGACGAGCACGAAGTTGAAGGTATGTCCTGTCAAGCCAGAGACACGATCCCGGACGCACTCTAGAACTGGGATCCAGGGCTTTGGAGACAGCGTAAGGCCTGAAAACGTGTAGGTCAGTCCAGCGTCACCATATGTGGCTTGCTTCCTTGGCACACTGTGCCACTTCCCAAACACCTGGACCCTGGCCAGTGCACCTGTGCAGAAAAAAACAGCAGTGCCAACCCCCGGACCCAGAGAGGCAGGCAACACACCCTCTGAGTACTCGGGAGAGCAAGGGAAGGAAAACAGGAATGGCATGTCCCTCTGTCCTCCAGTGTCATGAAATGCCCTGTTCGGTAATACACCTCCTCAAAAATCACAATGGCTTGCCAAAGTTTTTTGTAAAACCACTCTTGCCCTTCTTTCTGCGGTCAATTCTTGAGCACGGTAATTTAATTGCCTTTCGGAGCAGAACAGAGACTGAACTCTGAGCACAATGAGGTTTTCATGATAGCCAATTTGTGTCAACCTGTCACTCCATGGAAGGCGGAGATTGTGTAGCTCATGCTGGGCCAGATCCCATAACGGCATCATGGGGGGTTCTTAGCCTGTGGTTTGCAGACCAGCAGCCTCCTCATCACCTGGAAACACCTTAGAAACCAGACTGCAGCGTGGCCCTCTATGAGAGTCTGGAGTAGCAACCCCCCCCCC